TATATTAGGGATAAGATAAAAAATGTTGTGGATGGGATACAAAAGTCTTTGAAAATTGCTGAGGAGCTAACAATTACCGGGGATGAGACAGAAAATACTGAGGATGAGCTAAAAAATATTATGGATCAGCTAAAAAATATTAGGGATTAAGTAGAAAATACTGGAGACGAGCTAAAATACGTTACGAATGAGCTAGAAAATATTAGAGATGAGCTAGAAAATACTTGGAATGAGCTTGAAAATATTAGGGAAGAGCTTGAAAATATTAGGGATGAGCTAGAAAATATTATTAGGGATGAGCTAAAAAAATTATTAGGGATGAACTAGAAAATACTTGGAATGAGCTAGAAAATACTGGGGGTGAGCTAGAAAATGTTAGGAAAATATTGGGGTATCTGTCATACACTGGGCAATTATGTTAAGTTCGCTAGTTTGCCCATACAGCTTTTCCTGAAGTGTCAATAGGGTTGTCCACGTTTCCTGTCTCAGGGTCAAAGACCTATGTGTCCAGCACTGGCTAGAGGATGTGAGGTGTGTGTGTGTGTGAGGATGTGAGGTGTGTGTGTGTATGTGTGTGTGTGTGTGTGTGTGTGTGTGTGTGTGTGTGTGTGTGTGTCCTGCACTGCTGAAGTTGTTTCACGGTTTGGTCCAGCCCTCTACACTGGCATCTTGCAGATTGTATTTCGGTGTTCATTCCAACACTAACCGGACAGAGAAGCCCACTGGGGCTAGGACAAAAGATTCTCCACTTTTCTGATCCCGTGGAAAAGAGCGCCTCGCTCATATTCAAAATTTACGGACCATAATATCGTCTAGTTTATCTCGTATAAAAGCAATTTTTAAACCGTTTTTGGTGCAGCATCTTCAGAAATCCAGATCGATCCATAAAAGTTGGCACATCAGATCAGAAGACAACAAATATAAAACAAAAACATGTACACATTTTCTGACATTCATACAAGTAGCACAGACAAAACAAATTCCAACTCCGTTTCTGATATTTTCAATTTTCACATTTTTATTCATTTTTTTATGGTGGTGGGGGAATGGGGCAAAGAGATATATTTTCAACAAAACTTTTCAACACAATGCTAATATGAATTTCAGAACTGTTGATTATGACAATTATTAAATGACTCTCATATATAACAAATCCCATAGAAAACACAGCGACCTCTGCCGAGGCCATAGCTGTTCCAAACACACACACACGCACACACATGTACTCAAAGCGCTACCACAACAAAGCAATCATTTCATCAATCTTTCACTCACTCGAGCTTTTACCCCCAAAAATGACACTCATTTGGAAATACAAATTATTGTCTCACAGAATTTCCAAAAAAAAAAAAAAAAAAGACCCAAAAAAAGCCCGTTTTTCTCCCCCCGCCCTCCCTTTCAATTCCTCTCACGCACAACAGCCACCAGTCAATGCCAAATGCTTTCACAAACTGACCAGGAACCAAAGCCCCAGCCATGTTCTACCACAGCCCTACCACAGCCGTGGTACAGACAGACCAGAGCTCAGCGTACTATGGCACCTACCACGCTCCCCCCCCCCCACCTTGCACAGGCGTCACAACTCCTGTTTTAGTTTTAGTAAGAGGTTTTACGGCGCTTGCAACTGCATGAGGTCATATTATGAGCGCCAAGGGGTGGGTGTCAACAGAGAAGTCCAAACGGGGGGGGAATCAGGCTTACTCTGCTCAACTCTCTAGCCTCACAACCCTTCTCCGTGGTCCCAAAGGACAGGAAAGCGCTGTGCAAGGGGAGCTCTTACATTTCCATGCCCTAAACTTTGCAGGAAAGAAAAAGGACCATTTGGCCAGAGGCAAAACTTCATCACTTCCCTCCCAGCTGAGAAAGAGAAGGGAACAAATAATCAAAGTCGAAGAACAATTGTGAGGCAGCGTGGTGGAATCAGGCTCTCGTCAATTTTTGGGCATGTACAGCTATTGGTATCATCTTAAAGCTTGTTCACTTGTCTTTATTTGGATGGAAAAAAAATATCCATTTATCTTGAATACAAGTCGAGATATTAGCGAAAGAAGGAGGTGGGGGTCACCTGTTTTCAGAGGTAAAATTAGTGAGAAAATGGCCACGAAAGATTTGTTATTTCCTTAGCTTAAGAGTCCGTGGTAACTGGAAATGTACTTTTTTGTGCCTTTAATCAACGTTTTTCAGAAAAACCCACACAGAAATTAGTTCTTTAATGGGCATGAAAGGTGTTGAGCCAAAAAACTAAAATTTGATAAAAATTCACAAACCTTCTGAAAAATGCAAGTTTCGTCATTTTGATTATTTTGACGAGAGCCTGATTCCACCACGCTGCCTCACAATTATTTTTTCCCTACAGTTTTATACTTTAAAAAAAGACCCAAACACCTAGACAAAAAAGAAATACAATTTCCAGTTCCCGCAACAACAGAAAAGCAAGAAGACAACACGTCAGAAAAGTATCTGTCGAGTCGCGTCGAGATAGACTGCCGGCAACCCTTCCTCATTACCCTGTAGATACTGCAATGTCACAGGCAGGTGAAAACGTCTAAATCAAAAGTAACAACGTCTAGGTAAAAAAAAACAACGGAATCTAGGCTCCCCCGACACATACACACCAATAGATAATATACAGATGCATGAGAAAAATATAGGAAACAATTCTTGTATTTTTATCAATAGTAAAAAGATAAACTCCTTCACAAGAAACGGATGCCGTGTATGAGGATCTACATAGATATAATGATTCCATGGTAAAATTCTGATTGACGAAGCGGTACAAAGAACAACAATGAAATTATGGTGTCAGACGACGATGGAATTGAAACGTACGATTCACGGGACGAGGGATGATTTCATGGCATTTGTGAGACCTGAACCAAAAGAAGAGCGGTGAGATCTATGATATTTACGTGTGCTAAACAGGAGCCCTGGAGGGAAAGAACCCAGCAAAGACAAAGCACAGCCCGCCCGCC